ACCTCATCGCCCACCCCCTAACATTTCCCGTTAACAGCTTCTCTTCCCCGTTATCATCCTACGATTAGACCTAATTGATATATACCTAATAAATATAATCTCAGACAGATTATGAAGAAGAAAGCAGTGATGTCGGCTAGTCCTTCAGCATCGAGATCGTCTGAGGCACGGAAATCTGAGTCCGGTGATTCAGTGAAGCTTCGAAGCATCTATGAGCGACCGTATTCTGGGCGTTCTAGGTTTTGCAGATGCATGAATGCAAATGGAACTCGCGTCAAGGCGCCACTTTGGACTTCATGGACTGACTAGAATCCAGGGAGAAGATTTCATAGATGTCCTAATTATGAGGTATGCTTTTAATTGTTCTTTTCACATATGAGAACTGGAGAAGATCATGAATATGTATAATTTATTTATATTCATATTGATATTCATACTCTTGTGTATACTCAGAAGGATGGATGTGGCTTCTTTGAATGGCATGATGAGCCATTAACGGACAGAGCAAGGCATGTTATCAATGAGCTGAAACGGGAGAATAGGAGGCTCCAATCTGCAATGTTTGAATTGGAATGTGATAGTGTTGCTCAAAAGTTGGAGAGTGAACTTGAAGAAGTCAACAGTATGAATGATGCAGCCCATCTGGAATTGGAAAGCAAAACTAAAATGAAGAATAATTATGTTATTGTAGTGTTGTTATGTGTCCTTATTGTAGTATTATGTGTGTTAGTATGTTAGTTTCAGTTTCTTGTAAAATGGTTTGGTTATGACCTTGTAAACAGTTTGAATACATGTTGCTGTTAGAATTTGAATTTAAGTTAACACTTTGGTTTGGTTTTTAATATGAAAATACAATTTGTTGTTAGAATTTTTAATAAGTTGGTCTGGTTGTATTACTATGTTTGAGAGCAGTGTACTGATAACACCACAAATGAAGTAGTGTACTGATAACACCAGTTTGAGAGCAGTTTGAAATCAGAGCCAATACCATAACCACAATACAATCTGTAGAAGAAAGCCCTCATGCCAACATGGTCTGGTTGAATAAACAACATATATAAACAAAAAAAGAACTTATATCATAACTTCACATCATTAGGGATCATAATACTGATTGTTAATGAGGTTACAAAATACAAAAAAAGCATTATAAGCCCTAATTTAGCACCCCATAATTGCAGTCAGTTCCTTATAGTGCCAGAAGTAGTAAAACTTCATACAAAACACCTAAACTTCCAGTGAGTCTTCAAACGACTACATTGCCAAAAAGCTAATAAGCTAATAAATACAAAGTGCCCAAAAGTGTTCTAATGAAACATATGAGTCTTCATTCATCCATATTTGCAGTCTTGCTTCAACATGTTCACTTTGGAATGGAACCCGACCTCCTGATCTGCATCTTCTGTAACAACTGCTTAGAGCTGATTGCTGCATTCCCATTCCATTGCAAACCAGGTGGTTGAAAAGGTAGGTTTGTTGGATTATGCACCTCTGTACCATCACCCTTGAAAGGTATTGTTCTATATGTTGGCACATCCAACTGCTTCTCAGCCCGGGCAGCTCCTCTGATATCTTTTTCATTTGGGATTGCAAATCTGACTGTAACATCAGGGTCATGTGGCATTTCAGGCTGGAAATCTGAAACTATTTCCTCACTGCTCATCCCAGGCTACAAGCATAAACAAGTACATGAAGGTAAAATTAGAAATAAGAAAACTTATTTCAATACATCAACAAACTAAACCACTTACATAACACCGTAAACCTATTGATACTCACATTTAAAGTCTTCTCCCCAGTGTTCACATCCACATGGCACCCAAAGCCTGTTACAGATTGTTTACTTATCTTCCTTCCTATTCTTCTACATGTCACTTTAGACTTACCAGTACTCCTTTTAGCATTAGTGTGTGGATTTGTTGGTGGAGCTGATTCTGTAGTGGTAGGAATTGATGAAAAAGCAACACTAGCAGGTCTCTTCACAGGTATAGGTCCATTCCCTTCTGCTCCTTGAACACTTGCCTAAGAAACAGATAAAAAAAAGTCATGAAAACACAATAAATCAATATTGCAGTTTACATCTTCAAAGTCATGTACTACTTACATCTTTATCTTTATTAGGACATGTAGCTCTCTTATGGCCCTCCTTATGGCATATCCCACAAGTTTGTAGTCTCCCTTTTCTTGATGATGTCTGAGGTGTAGCACTGGCAGATGTAGAAGCACTTCCAGATCTTTTGACCCCAGTAGATGATCTAACCCTGTTCTTCTTTGGTCTGCCAGGTAGGTTTGGCACTGGGGGAGGTAAAATGGGTTCATAATCATCAACCTTCATGAAAGCTTTTCCAGGTACCGGTTGCAAAGCATTTGCATATGCTGCCATATAAGTCTCCTTATGATACCATCTTGAAATGTAGGTGATAGGATCTACCTTCCTATAATAGAAAGCACATATGGCATGTAAGCATGGTATTCCAGTCAGTTCCATGCTCTACAAGTGCATACCATCTTATCCAACACAACTGTGTGCTTATCTGTCCCCTCTCCAATCTCAAACCCCACATCCCCATTAAATATAACATTGCAACCACTAGCAGCCTCCTTATTGTCTTGATAGTACTCCATGCATAAGGGAGACCAATCGTTTATCCACTTATCATGATTTGTCTTGAACTCTGAAATTCTTTTCATTGCCTTCAATCGTATATCTTCCAGCATGGTTACAATAGGTTTTGACCTAGCTTCCCGGATCAATGAATTGAAGGACTCTGTGATGTTATTATCAACCATCCAACATGAACACCTATTACTAAAGTATGCTCTACACCAAGTTTGAACTGGATACTTCAAAAGGTCAGAAGCAGCTTCAGTGCTCAATTTTCCAAGCTTTTTAAGATTCAGTTGCAGCTCTTCTTCATATGTGCTCCAGGAACATATCCAAAACTTTTTGCAAAACTCATTGCCTCTCCATTTTTTTGACCAATTAGCATACACATGTCGGGCACAGAACCTATGCTCTGCATCTGGAATGACCTCTTGAGCAGCACTAATCAACCCCTTTTGCATATCAGAAATAAGTGTTAACTCACCACCAGTATTCAGGTGTAGATCCTGAACAAGCCAACTCAAAAACCACCTCCAATTAGACTTATTTTCTTTATCAATGACAGCCCATGCTATAGGGACCATCTGCCATTTCCATCCAACCCCACTGCACTCAGCAGATTACCCTTACAAACACCCTTTAGAAAGCAACCATCCACACCAATGATTCTTCTATAGCCAGCCAGCCAGTTCTGCCTCAAAGCAGCAAAGCATACAAACATTCTCTTGAATACTCTCCTCCCTTCTTTCAATGCTTCACTGCAGAGTTCAATTTCAGCTTTTGAACCTGGATTACTCCTCTTTAATGTGGCAGCATATGCTTCTAGGTACCCAAACTCAGCCTTATAACTACCATCCATTTCTTGAATAATCAACCTTTTAGCCCTTTTACATTTATACAAGCTAACATTTATCTTCAACTTCTTCTCTGCCTCCTCTTTCATGTCAGCAACTCGAAAGCTAGGATTTCTCTCCAGGTGCCCTTTAAAGTAATTTGCAAGCCACTTTTGAGTAGCACTAGGAATAGAATAGTGTCGGAAACACTTGTGCTCAGTGTTACAAATCTTCACTGCCAACCCATAGTTCTTCCCATCTTGAGAAATCCATAATCTAAATGGGCAACCTTCCTCATTCAAACATTTAACAGCCAGTCTATTCTTCTCATTTGGTTTGATTTTCAGCTTGTAACCATATTTCACACCATAATTAGCAATTGCAGTCCTAGCCTCTTCAGCATCTGCAAAGGTCATTCCATTCATAAAACAATCTGACCCATCTGTTGCATTGTAATTGATTGTACCATCATTATCAGAGGATGGATCAGAATTGTTGCTCTCTTCATCTTCTGAGCCTCTATTTGATTCTTCATCTGTAACATACCCATTTGGGACACCACTTGTATTCACTTCATCACTTTGGTCTCTCCAATCTGTATTGGCAGACTCATCACCCACCCCACCATCATTCTCATCACCAATGTCATGGTTACCAATTTCAGAAAATGAACCTTCTATCAGGGGAATCAAAATGGATTCGTCCAGTTGATGGTCAGCATATAGCTCTATAGTATCAATCCAAGAAAATCTCCTTATACGATTTAACACTTTCCTTATAGTGTCATCATCCTGAACTAAGAAAAGTCCATTGTCCAAATCCTTTCCAGGTTCTAAAACATATATATTTTTCAGTGTTTTAAACCCCAAGTCATCCTTGTATTTTCTTGAAATGTCATGATAACACATATAATCAGGGTCAAACCCATAAACTGTATCAGCGTCCCCATTCACATACTGTAACTTTGGTTTCATAACCCACCTCCCGCTATGGTTAAATCTGAGATTAACCAACCCATTCATTGTAACAAACAAAAACAACACTCAAAGATTACCTCAGATTAGTCGTACGTATTGTAACCTTGGTCGTGCAGTTGAACACCTTCTAATCTTCTCAACTCACTCGCACAATCTCACACTTATTAGCCATGGAAGTGAGTTAGGGTTAGAAATTTCAATTTGGGAGATTCTAATCGCAGGATGATAACGGGGAAGAGAAGCTGTTAACGGGAAATGTTAGGGGGTGGGCGATGAGGTCCGAAAAGTTTAATTTGATGTTTATTTGATCTCAAAAAAACCTTAATATCCAATACGCTCTTCATTAAAAACCTCAGTGTCCATTTTGACCCTTTTCCCCTTTTGTAAATGACTTATCATGTTTAATATATGGATAAAATGTGTATCCGTGCATCGCACGGGTGAAATACTAGTTTTTGCAATTGTCTCCCGCTTATCAAATTTCCATCAATTTCCTTCCAAGCTGTATTCACTACTTTTACCTGGACAATTACAAAATCATTTCTTTTCCTTTTTGTCTTTTTTATTACTTTTCCTCTTGCTTACCACTGACGCTTACTTGACTCGAGTGAAAAGTGCGAGGAGATTTTCCCAGCCCCTATGTTCCTCACCGCAATCATCATCGTCTCATCTGCCCCTGCATATCAATCATCGCATCTTTAATTCCCAATTCCATGTCTGATCCGCACGGATCTAAGCCCGGCCGTCGCGGCGGCGGCGGTGGATGCACCAATTTAGCTTCGTGCAAAGCCGCCGCCGTTTTCCTGTTTGTCGTCGTCGCCGGCATCGGCGCAGTCTTCTACTTCTTCTACAGGCCTAAATCACCCCGAATCGCGGTCGAAAACGTGAAGTTATCCGACTTTTCAATTTCAAACGGCACCGTCAATTTCACCTTCTTCCAGTACGGCTCCGTCACCAACCCCAACCGCTACGAGTTCACTCACTACGACAGCACCATACAGCTTAGCTACTTCGATCAGCCGGTAGGTATCACCTTCATTCCGTCCGGGAAGATTGACGGCGGGCAGACCCAGAAAATGGCGGCCAAGCTCATTGTCCAATCCTACCCCTTGCCCCCTTCCTTCTCGTCGTCGCCGCAGCTGGTGTTAGAGACTAGAATGAAACTGGTGGGGAGGGTTAGAGTGCTGAAGGTGTTCACACATAGCGTGGGAAGCAATGCCAGATGTTGGGTGTTGATTCAAGTTTCCCCAGGGCCTGTATATTTTCATTGCTGATAATTGGTGGCTGCTGCCACTCCGGCCACCGCTGCGGCAGCGTTTATGTCTTTTCTTACAGGAATCCCCCATAAACCGGAAACAGAAGGGGCTTAATTAATGTATTTTCTCCCATATAGAGCTAATCTATAAATATTAGGAGCAGATAGCAGGTGATGTAAGATTTGCACAAGTGTTCATCATCTCATTTTGTGTTGCATAATTGCAACCCTACCCATTACCAGAGAGATTGAGCTAAGAATTTCAACTCTATTATAATCTGATTAGCTTTACAATTTCTTCTTTATATTACTCGTAATGTTTTAAGTCTCAAACCAACCGGACTTAACAAATTATAAAATACACAAAGATTAGACATCTATCGATGTAGAAAATTTCACTCAAATTAAAAACATCTTAAATCTATTGAAATTGATGAAATTTTGATTGAAACGATGGAATTGGCTGCATTTTGAAAAATACTCTGTATATATTTAAAACATAGTTTACTAATAAAATAATAAAAAACTAAAAATACTGAGTAACTAAATAAGCCTAAATTCATCATACTCTTTTTTTATTATTGTAAAGTTCAGCGGACAAAATAAAAGAATTACATACTCCGTATTTGATAAAAAAAATATAGGAAATTCACCCAAAATTATTGGAAAAGAGTAGCGTAATCTTACCCTTTTTTTATTATTGGAAATTCATCATCTACCGTGACTCCAGCTAACTCACCCAAAATTGACTGATATGTCTAATAAGTTGAAAATAGAGGTTATCAAGCGGAATACTTATTTTTTTTTTGCATACTCTATACAATGTCATTAAAATAGCAATTCTTATAAAACAATATTATGATTCTATATTAATAAATTGAGTAAAATAATAGAATGGCATCGTAAGAATGATGACATTTTTTCAACTTCAGTATTTGGAAATAATGGCAACGACAATTTGAATTGATAATAGTAATGACAATAACGATAAAAACAATGCCAAACATGAAATAGATGAATATTTGTGTAACTATGTGTGTGTTTTAGAGTATGCTATATACTCTAAATTGTTTGTGTTATTAATTAATAGCATGAATGCAGTGTATAAAATATGAGTTTACTTGGTATTCCCTCAATTTCACAAAACTACAAGATAATAAAAACAGAAACAAGATTTCTGAAGAAAAGAGACATATTATTAACCGAGGGAGGTGTTAATATATATTTTTTACAGAAGAGAGGTGGTAATTTTAAGTTGTATAAGTATTGCTTTTCTTTTTTCCTTTCATTTTTCTATTTTACGATATTCATTCATTAATATACTTTAGTAAGATCCCACCATTTACGATTTGATATCCTGATTCCATTTTCTAAACCTTAGACCTATATGATTAAGAAATACGGAGTACCATTTAAAGGACTTGAATACTTGATTTTATACTACGTATAAAAAACAGGGATCCCATTAAATATCCAAGATATACAGTTCTGCTGCTGCTGCTTCATCATCTAGATTTTCTTCTAGTTTCGAGCAGTTTCCTAAGTTCCCCCTTGAATGCCTTATTACTGGAAAGAAAAAAGGAGATAAACTGTGAGCTTACATCCATATGCAAGTATTTGTTATGATTTATGAACTATAACAGAATTTAAGGTTAGAACTATTACGTGTCAGCAGACAGCTTTCCATGGGTACCAAACACGCCCTTCATAAGGGATTCTATATCAACACCCCGTTCTCGCATGAGTTTATCATGGTATATCCTGCTACCTATTTCACTGATATCCTCTTCCACCTCTTCTAGCCGCTGGTCCACATTGAGCTGCAAATCTCCTTTCCTAATTACAGTCACTCCAAAGCCACTTGCTTTGGCTTCTCTAAATGCATCCTGCACAGTGACCAGAAAGGTGGCAACTATTTCAACACAATGCTTTTCTGCAAGTAAAACTAGCAAAAAGGAGCAGTACACAAGAACTTACCTTGGGTTGTTGTGCCACAACAAAGGCAGTTCCATTGCCAAGTGATTCCAAGTGGGCTTGTATGATGTAGCAAAGGTTTTTACAGTCACCAGCATCCTCGAAAGCAATCACGTGATTTGGTGGAGGATCCAATTCTAGATCAGAGGCCATTTCTAATGAATAGAGCCCCACTTTCATCTCCCCCTCTTGCTTGATGTACATCTCAATGCACTATATTTTAAAAAAGAACATAAAACCAAAAAGTTCAGAAATTATAATTACATAAAATGTTCAAATACATGATGAAGTAATTGATGTTACTGAAAAAGTGAAACCTATGTTATGTTCTCCCTTTTAATATATTTTTCCCTTTCTTCCTATATAATATACTCCGTACTTACTTTCCTGAACTGTCTGTGCCTAAATAAAGTCAGAGTTCCTTATTCGATAAAATATTAGTTCTCCATACTACCTGTTAAAATAAGGTAAAATTTGGATGTCAAATAAGCAAAAGAAGTAGGTATATTTAAGTAGACGTGCCAAACTCAAAGTAGGAATGTTAAAAAAAATATTCCATTTCCAGCAAGGTGACTATGAGGACATTCTTATTTGTTACCTATAGCTTTCATATTTTTCATTTTTTCCACAACTACGATTCTTGTCACTTTTTGTCCTTCCCGGTCAGTTATCAAGTTAAAAGTTAACTCGAAATTGCACGGAAATTGACCAGGTAAGTAGTCATAAGGACCATTAATGACAAAGAATCTATAGCCATGCATCAAAAGTAGAAAATTGAAATTTAGGGACCAAAAATCAGTGAGGTAATACTAGTGGGAATAACAATGGAATATTTTCAAACGTGAACTAAGGGACAGCAGGAGTATACTCATTTTTTTCATTTTCATTTACCCCAGTGCCGCAAAGGCTCCCACCTACGGTGGGGTAAGGGGGGTCGGATGTACGCAGTCTTACCCCTGTACTAAAGCACAGAGAGACTGTTTCCGGATGACCCATAGTGAAAATCCCGTCCAAAATTGCATGGACTGACGGCTGCTTCATAACAAAGAAGCGCAGACAGTTTATTGAGCCATTTTGCTTTATTCCATCATAATCTCAAGCCAAAAAATAATGAATCTTTGGCTCCATTGCAAATGATGGAAATTAAGCGCAGACAGCAGGAGTATACTAATAAAAAAATTTAGATTAACCTGCAAAATGAGAAATATGACCAACCGCTTACCAGTATATGAGGCAAATCTAGCCACCACAAGTAATCCTCTTCCTTTTCATCACCATACTCACGATATTTGCTCACTACAGCTTGTGGACCAAACAGTTTCATTTCTCTTCTGACCTTGTCTAGTTTCCCTCCGATGAACTTCTTCCCCCTCTCAGGCAATCTATCTATTACTTCACCAGCTTCTTGTATCTCTTTCTCCGTAATCCACCTGTCCAAGTCTTTCCCTATATCCTTCATCACACTTTTGGTCTCTGGGTCTGTCTCTGCATTGTATGACTCAAGGAACTCCCGTGACCACTTCTTTGTGTACTCCCAAAACTCTTTTCCATATTTTTTTCCAGCTCTAGTCGAACCATCACTTCCTTCTATAATGGTTTTGGGAGCTTTTGCGGGTTTCTTTGATAGTGTAGAACCAACTTTATTACTAGATGAAGAGTGTATTGGTTTCATGAGATTAGAATCTTTTTTACTTCCCTCAGCTGTCTTTCTATGTTCACCAGAGCTATTGACTAAATCCTGGATTTTATCCACGGGATAACCTTTCCACCTAGGCATAATTTTCTGTGGTGAATCATACAAACTGATGCCATCTGGTTCATTAGAAACTTCCTCAGTAAATACCAAAAAGCATGAAGTAAATAAACTATTAAACGAACTTTATCAATCTAGGACCCGAAAGAAACGTTCATTTTCAACAAGGAGCCTGAAAGATAAAGTGTGTCGATACAGAACCTGAATGATTGAAAACTATCAATCTGAGACCTAAAAGATCATAGATGTTGATTTATTTAATTTTTTATTAATTCCATTGTTAATCTTTGATAATTTCTTCTTCACAAAGTTTATTAGTTTAATAAGTTTACATCATATTTACAGAGTAAACTTTTTAAAATACAACAATATTAAAATTCATGGAATTATAGGTCTTGGATTGATAGCTTTCGATGCCATGTATCGACACACTATCTTTCAGATTCCTTATTGATAATGAACGTATCTTTCAAGTCCTCAACTCATTAAATTCCACTAAAAAGGATTTTCATCATGTGAAAGATTGCTACCTGTTCCATAATCAAGGTTCTCAATGTTTGCATGCAGCCATTCATGCAAATTCAAAATCTGCTTGTTCTCTTGTTCGACTTTCTTCTCAAGGCCATCAAAGAATGTCAGTCTGTCTTCGTTGCTCATGAGGAAAAATGGATCTCTTCCAGCCAGCTCGTTATCTCGAACTTTAAAGACAATTCCTTTGAGCCTTTCATCTTCCATCCATTCAAGCTCTCCACCATATTTACTGGTCTCAAGGTTAAATGGTTTCGTCTCTGGATATGATTTGTCCTTCGCGACCAAGTAGTTGTCCCTAAATCCCGTCTTCATCTTCTTAATAACGGGCTCAAGTACATGGAAATTCTTTTCCAACCAATTATCCTTATTTACCAGAGGTGTCTCTTCTTGGGTTCTGTTATGACCAGAGGGAGTTTCAGGTATACCCGAACTTGTTGCTACACTTTCTTTAATATCCTTTATAATTTCTAATGCCAGAACAGAAGGCTCATTAGTGAAACTCGAATCTTGACAAGTAGTCGATGCTTCAAGTGAAATGGAAGGTGATACAAGTAAGCTCTCACCATCTTCCTGCTTTGAGCTATTCTCAATTTCCAAGCTCCCACATGCAGCTACAGATTCATCATCAATTGGGAAATAATTCTCCCTTTCACAATCTGAATCTTCCAGGAACTCAAATGAGTTTTCAGGTTTCTGGTTCACATGCCCAATAGCTTTCATTTCTACTAAATTGGTAGCTAGGGTATTAACCTGTTCAAAACTGGATGATATGGTTTCTTGAGGGGTTATGGGTTTCTCTCTTCTAAAATTAGAAATTTCCAAGAACTCATCAGATTTCTGGTTCACAGAGCCAATAGCTTTCTTTTTCATTAGATTGCTAGAAAATTCAGTGTCAACTTCTTCGACAGATGTTGTAATTCTCTCATCTATTTCTTTACATTTATCATATTTCATAGAGAGGTATTCTCTAGCTTCCTTTACTGACGTTATGATCCTTGATTTTGTTTTCATATGGCTTTTATGTGATTTGCTTGACAGGTCAGCTGTACTGTTAGATTGTTCAGCTAAACAACTGACATCATTCAACAAGCTCTCATCATGCATCAAATCACTTTCACTTCCTGTAGGACTCATTGCACTATTATCAGTTACACGACTCAAGATGCTACCATCATTTTCAATGGACAATGCATCAAAGCTATCAGAATCTTCTTCTTCTTCTTCTTCTTTATTTGTCAAAGAGCTTTTGCCTTCCGAATCTCTTGCACACCTAGCCATTTCTCTGATTTCATGAACCTTGTACTCAAATTCTATATCTCCAATGTGCAGACTGCTAGAATTTTCTGGCAATGCAGGTTTATCATGTAACTCCATTGTATTTGTTATACTACTCATAAGTTTTTCTTTATCTAACTTAGGCCTCTCAATAGGCAAGATGGTGTTATCCTTTGTGGATTCCTGAACAACTTCCACACTGCCAATCACCTCTCTCTCTTTCATCACTCTAGCTTCTCTCTTTCTCCTAAGCATTTCTTTCTCTAATGCAGTGTATGCCTGTTCATTGTTTAAAGATCTAAAAAAGGCCATCTTCATAGCCCACATTGTTACAAGACCACACAATATTACAAGCCCAAAATTAGGTAGCATTTTATAGGAGCTCAGATTTAGACTAAACCCACTCATCCCAGTCTTCAGGACATTGCCTAACTTCCCCTCAGAAGAAGTATAAAACTTTGTAACTGTACTATTTGTGGATATTACATTATTCCCAGATTCCATTTCTCTAGCTAACGATTTGGCTACAGATAACTTTTCATTAACTTCACTGAGATCCTCAAACACTGGGGCAGCCCTCAACAATGGTGCCAGAACTTTACTTCTTTTGATAATTTCGTCCTCATGCACAACAACCCTTTCAACCTTACCCCCAGAATCTTGATAAACACTGAAGATAGTACCAGTCCCAGTACCCCAGAGCTGCGTGTCCTTCCTATACTGCTCAACCCAATTCTCTAATTTATTTAACAAGACGGAGCCACCCAGAGGCCTTGTTAGCTTAATATTAGGCAGCTGGGTGGGCTCTCTAGCATTCCCGGATTTAAAATCAGGAGCTATCCCACTTCGATCAAAATTTTCATTTTCTAGGATACTTTGAGAAACGGGAGCAGATATTACAGAATTCCCACTAACCTCCTGGTGTTGCTCTTTGCCGATCTTTCTCCTCAGATAGTTACGGCGGTTCGAACGCCCATTGAAGTGAGCTGAAACTCTGAAACTCGAGTGATTGGGGAGGAGGGAATCGGATAATTTTTGGGACAATAGATGAATTCTTTTAGATTTTGAGGAGGTGAGTCTTGAAGAGTGGTTTATCGAGGACGATAAAGGCGGAACAAATGAGAGTTGACCAAAAAACAGCTGCGTGGTTGAAACAGAGAGGTTTAGAAGATCCATGAATGAGAGGGTACGCTCCGCGGCTCAGGTATATCGAAGAAATAGATTATCCCATGAATGAAATAGATTAGATTAGAGCAGAGAGATGCAGAGGGAAGAAGTAGCTTAAAGCCTTGAACCCTGACGCCTGATAATAAAGCGCCTCGTAATCTCGCTTTACCGTTTATCCTTCTTGAAAATAGATATAGATAGCAGTGCTCATAATTTTGTTTGTGATCGATTAAATTTGGTTGCATCACTTGCATGTAGACCCTTACCGTAATAGTAGTACTTCCCTACCCAAAAAGTATAAATACATTAAATATATATATTTTAACTATATTCTAGTGTTTGGATGAACTCATGAAAGTATTTTTGGGTGCTCCAAAACACTCATAGAAACAATTTTTAGAAGTTGAGGGAGAAGATCAAATTGTGAGAAACTGATTCTGATCATTATTTGCTTTAGGACAAATCATTTTGGATAACTACTTGGTCGTCAGCATAAGCAGAAATATGCTTGGAAGCAGAATCAAAACAGGTAGAGACGTAGAGTCAAAATCGAACTAAATGACATAATAAACTCCAAGAGAAGTCTAATCAACTGAAAACTGAAAATTACCAATCAAAGTTCACTTTTAATTGGGTACACATACCCTCAACAGCTTTAATTCTAACTTAACCCAAAAACGTAAACCATAACTGTCAAGAAACATGACTTGAACAAACTGCAGAAGATTGCACTATATAAAAAAAGTGTAAACAACTAATTAACAATTTCTTAAACTGAAGCCCCAAAGGGAAGTTCAAAAAGAGGGGAATATACAAAAATATCAACTGCACAACCTATCAACCTCAATACACTTTTGGTGGAATAACTAGACTAGGCCTTGCCACCACTCCCCACAGGAGTGTCTTCATTTTCTACCACTGATTAGGAAAGGCCTCGCGGTAATTTGCATCCCCTGCTGCCGTCAGCTCTCTGCATGTAGCATCTCCTGCGCGTGTATTGAGTAGCTTCTGACTCAATCTGTCTTTACTGGTTTCTTTCTTCTTTTTCAACATAGATGCAAGGGTTTCTTTTTTGCTTCTTTCTGCACGAGATTTTGTTCCACTGGCTGTACATTGCTCTTCTTCAGCATAATAAGAAGTTGAAGATGATGCAATAGCAGCATCGCGAAGAACAGCTTCATTGTGTTCTCGTACCTTTGCTCGCTTTGCCCTCTTCAAGCTCACATCCTTCTTTGCTTCAACTTTATCTCTCTCCCGGACGTTCTTCACTGCTTGTCTGGCCAGTTGAGTCAAATCTACCATTGAAGAGCACTCATGAATAGACTTTCCTTTGTCTTGAGGAATGATAGGCTTTCCTTCATCATCGCGAGGAACTATGACCCCATGGAATGGACAAGCTCTCAAGTCTCTCCTCTGGCAAAGTCCACCTTTCCTCAATAAAGGAGCACGACATGGTTGGATTTCAACGGGATCTTCTCTATACACAGTTGTATACACATTCAGCTCTGCAATTTTTTCAGCTGGAATGATCGCATCATAGTCTACCCTACCCCAGTGGCTGTCAAGATCCAAACCCCTTTGGTTGGCCAAAAAAACCCGCTTTGAGCCCCAGTTATCCAAGACAGGGCCCCACTTAATGACTGGAGCTTTGTCTAATAGTTCAGCATGCAATGGATTTGATTCACTGCTGAAATTTTTTGCACCCACCTCTGGACGTCCATTACTGTTTCGAGAAGAAGCTTCACATCTCACGCCGTCCATTTTTTTGTGTGTTTCGACAGGCTGTGTAGGCTCAAATGATCTGATATCACCATCTTCCCAGATGACATCATCATCCTCCCCATGGTTAATCTTTGAAAGAGTGCAACCTGAGGCTTCACATTTTGCTTTTACAGATTTGAGATGATTTCGAATGTCAATGAAGTCTTTCAGAGCGATGTCCCTAAACCTGGTATCCTCTGTTTCCACTCGTATGAGAACTGATATCCATTCTTGAACCGCAACCATATGTTTGGTCATTAGAACCTTATAGAGTTCCCTCAATGCATCAAAGATGACCTTATTGTCAGTACTCTCTCTAACCTTTTCCCCATCCACCAAACAGTCAAGACGGAGTTGTCGCAGTTCATAGTTGCGGAACTCGTCAACTTCTTCCTCATCATCTAATGGAACCAACGGCATGCCCTCATCCTCATCCTTACTGTTAAGAATGTCTAAACACGTGCTAATTTCATCAGTTGTTGAGTGAATCTCATCTTTGATTGAACAGAAATTCTCCTTGAAAGTACCAAACTTTTTTAGCAAAATTTCTCTTGTCCTTATCTCTCTATCTCTTCTCTCCTGCTGAATCCTCAATGCATTTGCTTGCACGTTGGGAAACTGAAAGCGAAGTGTGCTTTTCAGATAATCATGCCCTAGCCTAAGCTGCCTGTAGTGTTCTCCAAATGAATCATTCCATTTTTCCAGAAACTCAATCGCCTTGGCACGCAAAACAGATGCAACAGAAGCAGGGGCAGGGAGAGGTAGGTTTTTTCTGAATCCTACGCTTAAGGTTAACAATTGATCTAAATTCTCAACAAGTATAGCCCGAAAAAGCTTCGACCTCATGAAGATTTCATCTATGATAAGAAGTGAAAGATACCTAACCTGCAAATGATTAAAAGGCTTACTGAAATTTAACATCCGATTCATAAATATGACTATGTCATCATTTTTATATGATTTCTAATGCAAATATCGATATTTAAATTTCCCAATTATAATTCCAGAAAGGGTAGTAAAATTGAATTGCATAACTAGTCCTGCACCGAGGAATGCCTGCCATTTATTTATAAAGGCAGAGATAGTGATATTAATTGGGCATTAGATGAATGGAACGTGTCAAAGCACGTAACCTGAGAGTGGTCGCGTTTCATGATGGACATTAGGGTTTGGGCAGCAAGTCTTAACTCGGAGTCGGATTGCCGGACGACGGATTTGATGGCTTTGAGAAGGCGCGGATCCACTTCGGGTTTGATTGAGTTTGTAGCCTTCTCTATCAGCCGTGCCGCCATCGCCTTCTCCCTTTCAGTACCACTCTCCATCTTCTTCCAGCGACGCCTTTTATCTGCTCCTCGCAGGCAAAGAAAATAAAATAAAATGTGAATGTAAACTTGAACAAATTTAATGAAATTTTTCCACTTTTGGTCCCCGACTACGGGGACAATTTTAATCCCCGTCTTTTGTTTTTCCCAGATTTGATGCACTATGGAATATTTCCCAGTTTTGGTCCAGCGGTTGATTTTTCTGGCCAACTGCGTGTCATGTGATAAAATTAAGAGGTTAAAACAGTTCTTTCCTTCTACTCACACCCATCCATGTTATTAATCCGAAAACCTACTGCCTCTATCGCCCACCGCTTTGCTTCTACTGCCTCTATCGCCAAAAAATTCTCTTCTTCCACCCTTATTAGCTACATCTTCTCTCCTATCTTCTACATATTTCACTTTTTCATTGTAAACATAGTACAGGTAATGGATCGAAGCTCAGAGTCGAATTCACAGAACCCACGAGGTCAATACTATGAGTATGAAGAATGGATCCCTGTTGTATTTTGCCATTGTGATCGTCAATTGAAGTTGCAGACTTCATGGCACAAAGATAATCCGGGTAGAAGGTTTTGGCAATGTTGTATTTTGTTCCACTTGCTAATTTCATACGTTTGGGGTTTGTTTTGGCTTTAGAGCAACATGTCATGTGGGTTTATGCAATGGTTGGACCCTCCTATGTGTAATAGAGCAAAGAGGATTGTCTCAGGGTTATTGAGAAAGATCAACCGATATGAAGAAGAAATTCGGATTTGCAAAAGAAGCTGAAAGAAGAGGATAAGAGGGTGAAAAGGCTGGACACTTTGAGGCTGTCATCAATGAAAAAGACATTTGCAGCCCTCTTGCTTATTTTGGTGGTGATTTGTAGTGTGCTTTTAAGTAAATCAGATGGTGTGCAACGTCATTATCCGCCTTTGGTATAATCTAGCTCCCTTAGGTAGCATGACAGATCACTTTTGATGTATCCTGATGATGCATATTGTAGTGATTTATGGCAGATTAGATTAGTTGTGATATATACTGGATCTGTTAGTATGAAATGCTATGATGGTATTTCTAAGAGGATTACCTTAGTAGTTATATGTTATCCTTACTATTGTTGTATCACAACTATGTATCTTTTAATTAATGTATGGAATATTAGTTTATTTTGAGAAGATGATGCCTACATTTTATTTAAAATGCAGAGTGCTGCAACTGTCCATTGGGCAATTCAAATGCATAGTGCTGAAATGTAGATAAAATATTAGTGAGCAAAAACTTAAAGTTTTCACTTGGGTTATGCTCAGGATTGCCCACTTACGTTAAGAAACTTAAAGGTCACAATTGCCCACTTCAGTTATGCATTCTGTTTTCTCACATTTCCAGTCTAAAAAGGGAAAGTCCCTTGAGGTTTGTCACCTGTGATGGGCCACATGACATCCAATATTACAAAGAAAGAAGTAAATCAGAATTCACACAAACATCATTGCAAAAAAAGAATTCACACACTTGGTGATGAGCCACATGTAAAGGCAACATAATTCATTCTCATATTTAAGATCTTGGTGATGTCCCAAACAAAAAATTGCACCTATGTAACCACTTGAGTTTTCAAAAACAATACAGTTACAAGCCAAGATAAACAAAAATACTTATGATCCAGCTCCATCATTTTTTCTAACATATTAAAACAAAATCCTAACAAAAATATCTAAGCTTGATCAAGTTCAGCATCTCCACTATTCTTTTGACAATTATCCAACTGCATCCATGTTCACGGCATTTTCTGCATCCATGCTCACTGCAGCCTCAGTTTGCTCAAGGATTTTATCAACTCTTGATTGAGAAGGCTTACTTCTTACTCTTTTTCTTGGTTTACACTGCACAAAACAAGAAAGTGGTAGTATAACAATGGTTCTCATAGATAAAAAAATGAATTAAAAAAACTTATCTTACTATTATTATTGGAAAGAAATTAATAGATAAATCATTTTACTTACTAGTTTGTCTCTGTTCTTAGGATCATCTGGACACATTCTACAATTGTGTCCCTCTTTTCTGCAGTTTGAGCAATGAAGTTGGATGTGTTCCCTAGCAACTTTTTTC